CGGCTGTCAAAAATTGATCCCTCGTGTCGCCGTCAAACCGTAGCACCGCTTAGCCATCCTGCAGGCGAAGTTAAATCGCGTGGCGCCTGGGACAGCGTGGAGTTGGAAATAACGACCGTAATTAGCCTCCTTTTTCTGGATGCCGGGTTTTTGGGGGAGTTTTTTGTGGGTTTTTTTTTTTTCTAAAGCCGAAATGGGAATAGTTATTTACCTTGGACCTTTGTCAGGTGAGCGCCTGGCTCAGCTCGGGGAGCCCTGGGAACAGAAGGTTCCACGACTGGAGCCCGCACTGGGAGATCACAGCACCTAACAGTATCTTGGCAGAAAGACCTGTTTCAGAGTAGCTCAAGTGGTCATTCAAGACTGAAAAAAAAAAAATTACATTAAAGTTGCTTTGTGTACTCCCCTGGTGATTCGGGTGTTGTACCTTCACTGTCTGCTGTTTTATTTGTTTCCTCGCCTTTGAAAATTCAGGAAGTGTCGCTGTTTGTGGGGCTGAGCTCTGAAGGTTTTATTGGTGGGAAAAGCTGAATTTGGGTGGCTGAGAGAGGTTTGAAGACTTGACTTTATTTAAACTAATATCCGTAAATGTTCATTACCTGTATTGAAAACAAAGGATTACGCGGCTGCTCACTAATGACTTTTCCATAGAATACTTTTAAGATACACTGTCTTGATAATCGCATGGGGAACTGCTGCTTGTGTGAGAGGAATTACATCTGGATTTGATAATCTTGCCTGACCCAGAAGAAATTAGTTTGAAACTAACTTTCCTTTTGTATTTTTAAGAATATTTCCTTTACTATCACAATACAAAAAAACCTGAAGCTGATGTCAGTGGCCTTTCTTATTTTTGCCCAAGCAGGCAAATACTTTTTTTTTTTTTTGCCCCCCCTGCACACTGTGTTGCAGCTGTGTTACAGACCACAACAGAGGCTGGGAATAAGGGCAGGGGGAAAAAAATGGTACTAAATGGTCTCTCCCTTCTCTGAGAAACCAAGCAAAATTTCCTCTAAGTAGCAGAGCTGCAGGGCAGCCCTTAGGTACTTTGAGGATTTGACCAAGGCAACACCTGTTTAGCCAAAAGCAAAAGTCTTCCGATAAATAATGATGTAAATGTGAGTGAGATTAGTTGAAGGCTCTGCGATAATAGAGCTGGGAATTATACAACCAACAGATTATTTACTTTCTTTGTACCAAATATCTGGAAATGTAAGGAACTGATACCATCGGCATAAAATCTACACCTACACGCTGTGTAGATGCCATACTAGCCAGTTGTCACCTCATGTGAGTTGTTAAACTTCAGGCATGAAACCCCACAGCAATTACTAGTGTTAACTGTGGTACTTGTCCACGTAATTTGCAGTTTCACATTCTCACATTGGATAGTATTATGTCCCACCCATGGTATATAAATAACCGATGCAAAATGTGTAAGAAAAGAGAGTATTTGAAACCACAGCTTTGAAAGAAAAGTAATGTTGAAGTTGTTCTATTGCATGGCAGCTAGACAAGATGTGCCTCTCCTCTGCCTCGTGTTGTCAGGTTATTTCATTGATTCGCCTGTATGTTTGGGTGCTTCAGAAATAAAAGTATTACATCCACAGAAAAATCAGGTCCTGAGATGAAGTCTGAGTGCATAAGAAACAGGGACGTAGCAGGCTAAGTGTGTGACGACTTAGAAAAATATTCTTGGGTGCACTGAAGTGATGTTGGTCCTCAGCTATGGAGCAGTACTGGTCAAAAGTGAGACACTGTCCAGGAGCAAGCCCTGGCTTTACCAGTCACTCCTGCAATGGTCGAATCCCTCTCGCTCTGTCTACAAAGAAGGTGCTTACAGTCAGGCTGGGCACTGCCGGTTTGATGTCGTGAAGCTGTACCTCTGTTTAGCTACCGGCATTCTGTAAATACAGGAATAAACCAACTGGTCCCGGGGAAGGTTTCAGCTAATCGTCATGACCTGTGGTGTCTAAAAATCTCCTGCTCCCTTGTGTGAAGGGAGCCTGTTTGTAAATAGGGCAGGTCCCCTGCATGAGGACAGTGTTTTTATTCACACCCAATGAACAAACACCTCCACCCACTGTTGTTGTTTTAAAAGACTCCAGCTGCTCATGAATATAGGGTCAGGGAGGGCCGCCTAAATGTTTCTCTGTGCTTTCTCCCCAGCGCAGCCAGCAGAGCTGTTTCCTGTTCTTTGTTTCAAGGCTGGGGTTTGCGTCACACATTCCAAGTGGCATATGTGGTGCTCTTTCCTGTTTCGGGCTGTTTTCTGGCAGATTGGTAGCCTCGTCCAGGCCCCTTGTCACTGCCCCTCAACTCCCAATCCCCACCCAATGAGTTATCATGTCTCTACACACTCACGATTGCTTAAGATGCCTGTGTTCTGTCATAACGAGGCTTCCAAGTTAACCTTTAATGCACGCCCTCGACTCCAGTATAGCTATGGGGGTGAACTGGCGAGCTGCGCTCCCTTCGCTGAAAACTCACGCTCAACTCTCCAGAAAGCTGTGAGCCAGTTTTCTGCTCTCGCTTGCTCCTCAGCCGATCTGGAATAGCTCCATTAAAGTCACGGAGTTACACTGGTGTAAAAAGGGCGTGAGAAGACAATCCACATCTGTAGGCATATACTTGTGAGAGGGTTTTGGTTTCTGCCCTTACCCAACCCAAATGGCCCACCGTAAGCGCTCTGTATTTCCAGATCTCAAAAGGAATAGGTATTTTCTGCTTATGCAAACTAGAAGATTCACTCTCTTCCAGATGTAATACAGAAAATGAGGCACTGCTGGCTAACTTTTCTTTGGAACAAATAGGTATGGCTGTCCCACATTGAAGGCATAAAAATAAATCTTTTACTCCCTTTTTTGTATTGTGTTTTCCCCCCCTTCCCCTGCCCCTTGCAGGCAGACATAGAGAAATATCAAGAGGAAATTCAGAAAGAGAACATAAATCTTTTGGTTGCTTTGGATCTGACAGCAGAAGAGCTAAAAGACCCAAGCTAAAGCTCACTGAAATCAAGAGAAAGACTTGCATTAATTTCAGTGGGCTTTGAATCAGGCCCTGGATGAAAATGCAAGATGGAGTGTCTGTTCTACTCTGTCACTTAGGGGCCAGAATATGCATCATTTCTGTACACGCAGAAATTTTATTTTACCCTTTTTTTAATTTCACTCAGTTTTTAAGTAATCTTTGAGCTCCTGCTGTTGCTCTTTCAGATGCTAAAACTTATCTGTTTGTGATCGTTGCAGGTATCTTTTAAGAAGTATCTGAAATACATGCTTTAAAACTTCCTCTTTCAGAGCACTTGTATGTGAAAAATCATTTTTACTGAATTATGTGCACATCCTTACATCAACTTGTTTTTTGTCTGTTCAGAAATCCAGATAACAAGAAGTATTTGGCCACACAGTTTTGGTAAGTTGTTTATTGATTATTTTCATTTGTTACTCTCAGTTGGTTTTACTTGGTTGTTTTTCTGTTTATTTTAGAATACCATGAATGAGTTTATCCATTATCGCAATTAAATATCTTAATTCTGGTACTGTTAATTGGCACAGGCTTCCAAACATATCTAATCTTTTTTCCCCATGACAGAGGAAAAGTGTTGCATCTAACTGCATTTAATATTGGAAAGTGGTGTATAATAAATGCAGTAAATTTTGTGGTTCACACATTTTGTAGCCAGAAGTCCTACAAAATCAGGGACTGAGATTAAAATTATAATAGTTTTGTAAACCAACTTTTTAATATTAATTAACACTGCTAACAGGAGGTCTTTTAGAGTTCTTTTATGCTGTCAGCATTGAAGCTTTGTGTTTTCATTCCAAGGCTAGTTGCTTCCAATCCAGAATATGAAGTTTGGCAGAGCTGGTTTTCGGAGAGATTTAACCCTTCCCTGCTAAGCATCCACTTGATGCTGAGGCTTCCTTCGAGGGTTTTGTAGCCGTAGTTGATACCTCCCAGGGGAAGGAAGTGTAAGTGTAGATCAGCCAAATGGAAAGATAAAGCTCTAACGGGTTTTTAATAGTAAACTAAGTCAGAATGGAAAAAAAACCAGACGCATGGTCAGCCTATCATGCAGTGTGTGTTACCAACAAACTAACCTGATCCATGAAGGCATCACAGACTTTCCACTTTTAAAGAGTCTAAGCTGCTTTGATCACTGTCTCATTTGTACCCGCTATGCTATCCAGCTCTTCTCCTTGTTTTGTTTTTTTTTTTCCCACTTCGCAGGTAAATAGAAGTTATAGACATTTGCCCTGTATTCAAATCCTCACTCAAATTAATCATTTGGGCTATTGTTCATAAATGTACACTTCCTTTCTTCAGGATTAGATTATTTTTTCTTCTTCCCCATGCTATCAAAAATGTTGAATCTCTGTTTGGTATATTTCATGAAAGAGCAGAACTCTTTATGTAAGAGACACGTATTTTCTGCCATTCTTCCCTTGTAATAAAAAGATAGGATTTATATTTCTCCTTTTAAATTATCTTCAAAATTAACCTCTTAAGAAAAAAAACAACAAAAAACCAAAGTTCAGTTTGGAAGGGAAAAATTATCATACCATTCCACATACTTGACTTGTTTTCAAAAGTCTGATCTTTTATCCTTACTAGACTGTTTCTCCTTCTAAGAAGTAGCTTGAGACAGGAAACCAGACAGCAGTCTGCCCTGATAAGGGAGAATAGTGTCTAATAGAGGTGCCTCAAGAGCTTTTCTTTCTTCTCTCCCTTAGGTTCAGTAAATGTGTATCTGAAGGTTGAACAGGGTTTACATGGGCTCCATTTTTCCTTACTAGAGAAGATACCTTCTTAATGAGCAATGCAAGAACTTCTCTGCCCAAAATTTTTACGTGCAAGAAAGCCATTTCCACGCATATGGCTTCAAAGAGCCTGCAACAGTATTATCGTAAATTTAGTGGAAATACTGATTAGTCTGCTACACAGCCGATAAATGATAGTGTCAAAACAATTCTAGGTCAAACAAAGTGACGTCAGCAAAGTTAGGATGCACAAGTTGTGCAAAAAAACAGATCTTTCAGCCTGCTTGCAGTTCTGAGAGGAGGAAGGTAAATGATTTTCTAGTCAATAAAAAACAAAAATAGTCTGAAATACTATATAACAGAATCTTACAGAAATACTCCTTTTTCTTCATGTCTATCAAGTGAAACCTGCTGAAGAAAATTTTTGCCCAGGTGCCCTTTTCTTTTTACGTGATATCCTAACTTTTTCAACAGTTACTACCGTTTCCCAGCGGAAAATCCAGGGAATAAACAAACGCAGAAGGCTGCGGATCAGTGAAGTGTTTTCTTTGTGTACTAGTTCTTCATGATTCTCCCCCTGCTCTTTTCTTCATGGGCTAACTGCTCCAGTCCCTTCCCCCAGCACCATGTCTGGGCCTTTGCTCCTTCCCCTGCTCTTGCCTGCTTTGACGGAGTCTGACTGCTGTGCTGAGCTGGGAGTTTCTTTGCCTGCTGCTATTTTGGGGGCCCGTGCAGTTAAGCGCTTGCTTACTTCCCATTAAAGTTAATGGAACTTTAGAAACACTTTTCTGCTGACTCAGGTCTTGATGAGCAACTGGTACAGTAAGTGCAAACACATCTTGTTACTAGGCCTGGAAAACACTTTTTGTACCTTTTGCAGAGAATCCTGCTCTCAGAAATTGGCTTTTTCTGTCAAACTCTCTTTCAAGGTTCCACCAAAGATGACTTCTCACCGAGGTTTAGAAAACCTCCCCGCCCTTTGGATTTCATCATTGGAGAGTCTTCCGATATTATCACTTCTCCTTAGTATCGGGGGAAGTTTGACTCGAGGTTCACAGTAGAAGTAATAGTTTCAGGGCAACAGCCTAAGTCCCAAAGTCCATTTGGACTGAAAGAGCTTTGGCCACACGACTTGACGTTGGCTGCTAGGTACCAACAGTGCTGCAAGGGCTGCAGTGTCTTTGCAGAGGGCACTCATGCAGTGCTAATTTAGTAGATATCATTACATTATTCTGTAATTACACTAACAATAACAGTCATACCTTGAAGCTTCAAAGAGAAAGCTTCACTGTACAATGGGGCAGCATTCCTTGCTTCCCCGGGGTACAGAGGTTGAGAAAGCAAACCCCATGCATGCTGTCATGCAGGGTGAAGAGAGTTTAGGATGAGTGAAGAACTTATGGTGCCACCCCTCTGTCCCCAGCAGGAGTCAGGTCACTGACTGCTCTTCCAGGTATTTAATGAGAGCAAAGGCTCTATGTTAAAGAGAGGCTTTGTAGTTGCTGGATTTGCACAGTCAAAACTGGCCCTCCACCCCACCCTTTCCTTTCATAACAGGTCTGCAGAGTTGGTGGACCTTGAAGGTAGATGTAGAGAGCTGCCGGGAGTAGCTGCAATGCGGTTGCTCTTCTCCAGCTGCTCTGCAGTGCAGATGTGTAGCCTGGGTGCGTTCTTTAACAGCTTTGCTTGTCTCATCCAGGGTAAATAATCTGTACAAGTCCTTATTGTCAGAATATACGTGAAGTACCTTTAAGCTTTCATTTACTCTTAATTACGTCTCTGAAACAGTAAACCATACCTGTCAGGAAGTTAGTATGGAGAAGTCTTCAATCCTGACAAGGCGATGAGCTCTATTGATGGTGAACTTCCCTTCTGGAAGGCATACTTTGCTGCATGTTGGATCATAAGGGCAGAGTTTGTGTCTTTTCTGGCTTGTGCTGTCTTCACTGGACTTCAGATAGGAAAATACTGAGGGACTTTGCCTGGACTTTACCTTGCACCTGTCCTTATTTGCATACAAAAACCAATTGCTTCATTTGTCTTTCTGAAGTACAGGGCGTGAGCAGAATCTTATCAAAAGCCATGTCCTGTTTGGACAAGTTGGACTGACTTGGCAGAGATCCACAGGGTGGAGTGAATGGGAGGAGGCAAGAAAGTAAAACTGGGTGGCTTGTTAGCAGAAAAAGAGACGGAGAGCAAAAAAAAGAGAGGGTGGAATGTTTGCCTACCGGATTGTAGTTAATTATTTAGTTTCAGATTACATGCATTTTAAATTCTTTTAACCCACATGAAAAAAACCCTTTAATGCAAAATAGTTTATCTAATAACATGAAAGACAAAGGCCCTTATTTTTTAGTATGCTTAGTAGTAATATATTGTTGTGTCCTCACTGTTTTTTCCAGGGTACCTCAGGAATGAGAGACGGTATTTTGATTTTCCAGAAATTAGTTGTATTTACTAAACAATTTGTGGTCTTTCAAACAAGTACATTATGAAATCAGTGTGTAAAGTAGAACCCAACTGTTTTTTCATTCCTCTGTAATAGAAACAGATAAGACTGTTTACCTTCCCTATTGCCCCCTTCTCAAATGTTTAGGAGGGAGAGACTGGGACGTTTTGAGTTAGTAGGCATGATTTTACAAATAGATTAGGAAAAAATACTGACTTCTTAGTAGAAGTAGCATGCTTTATTTGTGTGTGAGTGTGCATGCACGCATTTGCTTGTGAATGTGGTCCAAGCTATCAATTTGGAGCATTATTTTTAACTACAAAGAGAATTGTTTTTGAGTTTATTTGCAGCCTTAGGAAAATGTCCTCCTGAGCTAAATTTTAAATGCTAGATCCAAAGCTGGTTTATATTGACTCTCTATCAGTTTCCAACAATTAAGAATTTGTCCCTCTGATCTGGACCAACAGGACCAAGTGTTACATATTAATTAATTTTACTTCCTTGAAAATTGGTTTCCAGTCACTGTGAAATGGGGAAAAGAAACCTACTGTTTAAGAGTAACGTGATAAAGAAGTGCTCGATTTCTGCACTGTGATGCAGTAATAAAAGTAGTGTTTTCCTCTGCTGTTCTTAGGTGACTGCACCTGAGAAAGATTGAGAATTACTTTTCACTTTTGTTCAGTGCAGTACACTTTCTGTTGTCTGTGTCAGTCCAGTTCCTACACAGTGATTGAGAGCCCTCTCAGGAAACGCTCACATGTGTTGCATGACATGTGAAATGTGTATCAAGTGTCTTTCACACACTTTCTTGGAGTACAAAGTGAAAAGGAGTAACTCTTAAACTGAAAAAAATCCAATTTTAAAACAAGAAAAATGACAAAAAGTATAGCCTTGGGAGCATGGCTGCTTACTTAGAACAAATTCTTTCCTTCTCTCTTTTCTTTCTGTTTTCTTCTGTTCTTCCTTCCTTCACTACAGTACAAATTGGTGTGTCACTTTATGCACATATAAACTAAAAACTGAAGGTTTCTAGAAACCTGAAAGCAAGTAGTTCCAAATTCTTATATATTGAGGTCTGAGAGGCAACATTTTACTGTAAACATTTGTTATGTCTAAAAGTATACCTGTTTTCACAATGCATACATATGTGTGGGAACATGTGTGAGTGATATAGAGATACACATACATGTATTTAATGCATAGATATGTGAATGTATTTCTGGGAAGACAGTCTTTTGAAGCATTAGTTCTAGCTATGTGAAATGTTAAAAACCTGAAAAAGATAACCATTATATAATAGTATAATTAATAACCTTCTGAGAAACATACTTAAAGTATCTACAAAATTATCACAACTTGTAGCAAATAGTGCCATCTTACACAGCTGCTTCTAAAATAAAACTACACATTAAGTTTAAGCTGGAAATTACATTGAGCTGCTCTATTTGTTTTACTTCTTTTTGGTGATTTGGTTTTATCAGGCCTTTGACTTTTGTGCGAAGAATTATGAAGATACTTTAATTTACTTTTGATACTTGTTTGTTTCCATTTTTCAAAATGTACACCGTTGTAATGTATTTTCAAAGTCTTGAAGCTTTATTCATATACCTCAATAATTAATGATAGACTTGTATCAACTCGTGCCATCTTTCTCTGGCAGCTCTTAACAAATTTTTATCTGTAAACACACGTGATAGTTAATTGCAAGTTTGTTCATTAGTGTAGAATTGTTTTAATTTGAGCAGGTAAAAAAAATCTTAAAATTTTCATTTACATTTCTCTGAGAATTTTACGGCCACAACTACAAATCTGTTGTTGAGCCTTTAGCCTACTTCTGCAGGGTGAAATTGTCTGGATGATGCAGTCTGGCCATATTTGTTTCTTTCCAGTGCCATCTGCTGGTCAAAATTGAATTTGTGTAATTTCTTTTCCTCCTGTCCTTGCATCTTAATAGAGGTCATACCACTTCCAGGCAGGGCTGTGAACTGTACAGAGTATGGTCAGAACTTGCTCCTTTAACATCCATATAATGTATAACCTCAAGTGATTTATAAAAAGCTTGCTAACATCTAAATGTCATTGAGAACATCTTTCCTTTGCTTCTCTTGGTTTTTGCTCTGTACCCTTATGGCTTTGCCCAGAAGAGGTATGGCCTCCTTTCCTTCACAGCATCTTTCCAAGTTGACTATGGTAAATGTGTAGTATGATAGTTAAGTTATGACATGCTTTATGCTAAATTCTTTTACTTAAGGCAGTTTGAGATAAGCTAGAATTGGATGAATGAGGTTGAACACTGTAAAAAAAACAACTGAAGCTGCATGGAATACAACCAGATTTTTTGAAGCGCTTTTCTTTTGCACAGTTAGCACAAATTTTTGTTGAATTGTAAGTAAATGTATTCTCTCAGGGAAATAACTGATGTATGTTCTATGTAAAGTCATGGCAGCGTGTTGAATGTACCTCTCGAAATGAGTCCTGGATTTTAATCTTTCTTTCGCATTGATTTCAATGTCACTGTACATGAAAGTTTTAACTTTTCTATCAGGACTCGCAGGAAAGGGAAATCCTCTCCAGGATCAGTTTACTTGTATAAACAAGTTTATTCTGAAATTGTAATGCTGATGAGAAATGCCTAGTCTAAACTGTGATGTGTTTACACACTGTGACAGCTAATGAAAGTGACAATTCTGTGATCTTGGTATGCTGACATGCACAATAAAAATTCAAATTAGCTTTCATAAAAGTGAGCAAATGTCCTTTTGTTTCAGTAGCAATTGGGAAAGAATAAACTTACAATAACTGAAATATTTAAATGAAGTCCAGTCAAGTATTTAAGAAGCTGTGTTAGAGATGGATAAATATTCACATTAGTCTGATGAAATAGTGAGTTCTCTACAATTCAGAAAGTTGATTAGGGGATTTCCTGTGGCTTTCTAACACCTTGTATTTCCCCCGCAGGCCAAGACATCAGAGGCATCAGAACAGGTGAATAAAGAAGATGCTAATGTTTGACCCAGTTCCTATCAAGCAAGAAGCCATGGAGCCTGTTTCAGTGGTAAGATTTTTAAAATACATTAGCCTTTGTGATGACTCTATAGTTTTTCCACCTTTAAATTCATTCCAAGATTTCTCTAAGCTTTGGACTAGCTTAGGAAAGGCTGTGAAGCTATATTGTGCTCTTAGGGCAATCAAATTCACATTCTAGGAAAACTTTTCTGTAGTTTATGAATTTATTGCACCTAAATGACCTGCCCCATTACCTCTGCTGATGCTCCCATCCCCAGAGCAGAGAACATCAAAGTACTCCTCAGCCACTGCTGTGCAAATATGATGTCTGTAGCTCACGCTGCTGATGGAGGTGGGTTGAAATTAAGCTGCCAGACTTCACAGTGAAGTGGCAAGAACCTGTGGTTTTGATGTTACACCTTTGAACTAAACAAGCAGCTTCTCTACTGTCCCCTTTTCTGTTTCTTTTTCCTGGTCTTGACGACTGAGCCTGGGGCTAACTGCACTCTAAACAGCAGGAAATTAATCCTGACAAAAAAAGCAATGGCTTTTTGCTGGGTAAGCTGGGTGGGTGTGTTACCTTACCGTGTGAAGAGGTGAGAACCAGGGCAGTGGAGGAGGAATGGGGAAAAAAGGTAAGGGGAGACTTTTCAGTTGGGTTAATTTTCTGTCAACCTGGTATATAGGGTCATCTCATGGGAAGAGTCTGATAAGCAAGAGCCGCAGGAACATGTAGCTGGGAGGGGGACAATGGGAAGTGTGATGATTTAGGCTGCCACGGAAATATGGCCTTAGGAAGCAGTTCCACGTATACTTCACTTAGTCAACAGCAGGCTGCTGCTGAAGGGGGAGGTTCAGGCTTTTCTCTCTTCTTTCCAGCTTTGTATCTCCTTTGTATGACATGAAGCAATTGTGCGGCCACAGAACGGTTTGGATCCTTTGGATCAGCTCATTGAATGGTCAGAATTGGTAACCCACCAAAAGTACCCATATTTTTTGGTCAGGTCAGGAAGCTGATCTGACTCATTCTGTGCAGCTGCTCAATGCAGGAGCAAGGGGAGGACAAAGGAGCAGGACCTCCCCCTTTCAGTAGCCTGCAATAAGATCAGGTTAAGTGTAGCATGAAACCACACCCCCAGAAAGGCTGATCAGTTAAAAAGGGTGAATTCAGTGTGCATAGGGTGCATTAAATACATGCTCTGAACGGCATCTTTCAGTGAAAAGTTTGCTCCCTGTTTTATTTAAAATGTAGAACAAGTGTTTTCAATTTAAGTGCATCTGTAAGCAGTCTGATGTCCTCAGTGCTATTAATAACACTTTTTGAGAGTTAAGTTTATATTAATTTTAAAAGTACAGTTTGACTTTCATGGGGTTTATTTGCTTGAGAGCAGTGACAGAAAAATAACTTATCTATTGCTGAGAGTGATATTTGGGTCAAGGAATAACCCTAGTATTGATCAGTCTGTCTGTCACTTCAATCATTATTGTATAACCTTATTAAGATTAGTGGTGGTTATCTACAGTTATCTAAGGATATCTAGTGGTGTCCATCAAAGGCAGAAAGTGGGCCACTTTTACATAGTGTTATTACACAAACAACAGAAAATCGCTATAGAGACGCTGTGGACTGTCCCTTGTACGCATCTGCCTTCACCTCCCAAAGAAGGCTCGGCAGTGGCTTACGACGATGCACGTGAGAGACACGAGATCCTGCCCCAGACAGCTGTGTCCTTCTGCAAGATGGACAGGGTCGGTCCCTTGACAGGCTGACCGGGAGAGGTCTGAGTCCCCCCCTGGACTGGCAGATGAAGGAAAAACTGCAATGGGAAGAGCAAGGGAGCATTTCTGAGCCAAGTGCATTTCAAGACTGTAGTTTCAAAAACGGCTTATTCTGTACCATGTGCTCCTTGCAGAGGTGTGGTACCTTCCATGTGTTGGATGTCTGGAGTTATCTTGGATGTTCTTAAAACTTCGTGTCATCATGCTGGCCGGCCGTTAGAGACTATTAAGAGCATTTTACCAAATCTGTATGCTTTCCTTTTTGTAATTGCATAATGCTAAAAAAACAAAAAACAAAAAAGCAGGAAAGGAAAATCAGAAAGCCCACAGGAAGGGACATTTTTTGAGTGAAGTTCCCCTCGTGGAGATAACTCTGTTTTCCCTCGGGCTGAGGAGTGTGTGTGTTTCAGCTTCTGTACACACACAGGCTCTTTAGCCCCAAGCCTTTGAGATCCTGGCTTCTCCCGTGCTTCTTGGTCTTGCAGCTTCCTTGGAGCCCTGCCGCCACGGCTCCCCAACAGAAACTGCTCTGGAAACACCTCTAAAGGGAGGAATCGTGGTATGGAGAGAACATAAGGAAAGGACAGTAGCCACTGAGCATATTAGTTCTCTTGACCTTCTTTTGAGAAGGTGGAAGGAAAGAGAAACTGTCTGTGAAGTTTTGGAGATGCTAAGCGTAGCATTCAGTTTACTGCAGGCTCACATAACTCAGAAATCTAAAATCGGGGTTGATTTTTAGGTTGGTATCTTTCATTCTGATAGTATCATTAGAGGCCAAACTAAATGAAGCCCCTGAGGAATTATTCATTATTTTACCTGAACACACGCTGTCCATAGGTATAAAGTCTGTCTTTAAAAAATCCCATTAGTTGGGGTGGGAGAAGGTAACAAATTACGGTTTTGACCGCTGTATTTCAGGGTGTGTGGCTGAAAGGATTAGCTATACTTCTCAGATGACCGAAGCTCGCACCCACAGTATTTCATCACTCCAGCAATATCTCATGCTACTTATTTAATTGAATTATTGAACATATTTTATGATCGTTCTTAATGAAATAGTGATGAAGTTATCTGAGTCCTACCTAAATATTTGCTGTGAGAACTTTTTAAACATTTGGACAAATACCAGTGACCATTTAGTGAAAGAAGTTGCTTTTTTACGTGTTACCATCTTTCTTTGAATTGAAATAAACAGCTTTTCTCTGCCCTTCCATCAGTCCCAAAACTACTTGTTTCACCTATTTTTAAAGATAGCTATGTGCTACATGAGGGGTTGATGTCTTTTCATGTGGTGAGAATGCTTTTTCATGTATTAGCTACTATTTGGATTAAATCCTATTCATCCTCTTACATGATACGGACTTGACAAGTAGTGTAAATAGGTGAGCAGGTTCTTCACCTGTTTCTCTTTTTCCAAGAGTCTGGCTAAATTTTTAACTTAAGTTCATTGGGTCATGTAGTTTATAAAAGACTGGCAAGTTGCTTCAAAATCTGTCTGCCTGTACAACAAAGACGATGTTTCACTGTGGCAGTATAACAGAACTTAGCAAATTATATCAGGTTAGTGCTTGATAATGTCCCCTTGTGGAAGCAGCAGTCTTCTGAGTGGTGGTAGGTGTGCTTGTGACATATTTGGCCAGTCTTTATTCTTGATAGATTGATCTTGATCTTGATAGATTGTCCAGAGGAAAAGCATGATGATTCTTTCTCCTTTTGGATTTACTGGTCTAATTGTATGAGCCCCATGGATATGACTCGTAAATATTAGAAGTTCCTTTGATTTATTTTCTAGTTTCTTTGTGGCTTCAGTGCTCTGTGTTTTATTATGGACAACCAGCAAGAAAAGGTAAATTAATTGCTTTTTAAGGCCCAAAGAGGGAAAGTGATGATATCAAACATAAAAAAGAGCTAGATGGAGACTGTAAAGGAATGTATGTCGAAATACAATCTGGCATCTCTATAGTGTTCTATTGTAGTGACATACCATTCTGCACAGGGACATTTAGGAAAGCAGAATTTATGGGAAAGTGGGAGTTTGTTGGGTTTTTTTTCAATCCAAGCCAGACCAAACTCCTGCATACACTGTTAATTCCCACAGTAAAAATCCAAGGAAAATGTATCAGCTTAAATTTTTTTGGCGAACAGAACAATCATACCTAATTTTCAGTTGTTACACCGGAATACTTCGCACAAGTTCTAGAACAGGTAAGAAAAAGACTGCTCTTGCAGGCTATGAAGTACACTCCTGCTTCCTGCAGTTGGTGGCATTTAGAAAACCAAACACAGGTAGTTGGACTTCTGTTTTTTGTTGGCTGTTGTTAATGCTCCCTATTTACAGAGAGAGACTGAAGTCTTCCTTACTCTCCCATCCAAGGGTTACTGTCCGCTTCCCTTGGCAAAGAATGGGAAGGTGACTTACAAAATTTGAAAGCAGTCGTTCATATTGACCTAATGAGAATTGCTGGGTCCCAGGGAGCTAGAAACTGAAACTTTGCTATGCCAAAAGGTACAGGAAGCTTAACTTCAGAACCAGGAGATAGATCTGAGTGCGACTTACTCCAAACGAACAGGGTTTCAACCAGGCTTCATTGATAGCAAAGCAAAACTGTTCTCTACCAAACCATCTGATTGACAGCAGGTAGATACTCTCCTTTTCATTGTTCTAGCATACTTCTCAAGTTTTTCACCCTTTTTCTTCCCAACACAGATAATTTGTCGCACCACATTTTTCTACCACAACTTTATCTGCAGTTCAGATAGAAACATAGCAATTAAAATTGCAGAAGGAAAGTTTACAAAAATGATTCAGCTCCCCCAAACTGCCAGAAAAAATAGCTGATGTTAAATCTGTGCCAGCTTAACTACAACAATGAAAACCTTCTATGCAAAATAACGCAAGGCATATGGGGTAAAATACCAAGTCCCTAAAATAATCACTTCTTAAAAACATCATTCTTTTCTTCCTAACTCTTGGAAAATATTTCTTGCTTGTCTAAATACCTTTTACTTAACTTTTCTAGATTATAGTTCTCTGCACAACATTTTAATAGTTTGGTATTTTTTCAACATACACACCTGGTGTTACTGGAGTTGAAAGAGGTTAACTGTTTATATAGAAAGGTTACAGCTCAGAGATGCTTTGTTCTTTATTATACTCGTTGACTGAAAACATTCCCTAAGATTTAAATTGTGTAGTCTTTTTCCTTTCTAGTATTCTTGCAATGGAAGAAGTGTTTGTAGGTAGTGACCTTGTGATCATCCCTGACAAACCTGCGGCACTGTAAACGCACTGATGTTTAGTGGTAGAACATTTACATTTGTTGAAGCTGAGTAGACTTTGTACTGTAAACCAATAATAGCAATTTTAACGGAAGTACTTAATATCTCTTCTGTGTTTAAAATTTTTAATTTTGCCCATGCCCATAACTTGATCAGATTTAGTAGGTATTAAATACTGTTAAATATTAAACTCTATCAATATTCAGTGGCCTGCATCACTTAGAATGCTAATAATTTCATCACTTGGCTCAGCAGTGGTGGGAAATCTATAGAACTTGTTTTAGCCAGCACTGCTTGCAATACTGGCATTTTAATAGAATTCTGAGGAACCAATTACCACTGAAGACGAAGGTTTTTATAGACTGAATTTGTAAGAATAGTCATAAAGAGAATAAGTAGTTTCAGAGGTTTTAATGTGATATTTATGGTTTGAAAATTAATCACTATTGTGTATGCTGCTTTATTCGAGTACTTTATGGAATAGGTGACTCAGCTTTGTTGTTTTATCACAGTGCTATGAGTGAAGCAGGAAAATTTAATATTTTCTAAACTCACTGTTTGAAAGAGTAACTGAAAATAAGACAAATACATTTGGGTTGCTTTGCAAAAATACTTTTAGTTAACATTGACATTTAACTGTCCCTCACACGGAGGACAGAGGTTAAGAAACCGGGAAGATGTATTGCTAGAATTTTTTATGCCAGGAAAAAAATAATTGAAATGTCATGGAAATGATTGTACAAAAATAAAATAGTTTTATACTTCTAATCTGTTTCACTTTCTACCATTTTGAACTTTTTTTTAATCCCACTCATCAAAGTCTTTTTGGTGCCAAAGGATTCAACAGGTTTTTTTAATATTACTATGAAACTGCTTAGTCTTAATGTGACGCTTGACTTACCTAGAATTCAAAGATAGCATTTTATTTCAAAAAATTTACAACATCTAAAGGCTAAAAAACTGTGGATTGCATTTTCTATGTCTTATCTATTATGTTAGAATATTACATCAGTTTCCATTGTAACTTATCTGTTAGTAAACAACCTCAGTTTTCAACACTTTTTAAGTGCAAAATTGATCTGGACAGTTGTTTAATAATACTGTACTCTGCAATGAATGTTAATACTTCAATACTACAAAATTTATTTCCACTAAAATGTGGAGATGGTCATGTAGGTCAAGGTTAGCTTTGGGGTTTATATGATCTTGTAATGAGAACTGCTAGCTACCACTAACAGGAATATTCTTCCAACACACCAAATGTTTATTCTTGTACTAGTTTACCAAAAACAGACTGGCTAGTTAGCTGCTCTATTTAAAAAAAAAAAAAAAAAAACTTGGAATTTACCTTTTGCACTCTTGAGTTTCTCACCCATTGCTTGTATAGTTCAGCTCGGTATTTTTTATTGCTTGTAGGGTTCAGATACATAATTTATTGCTTTAGTGATGATTATTTTCCAATTACTTAAGCAGTTGATTGGGAACCATTACTTGCAATTGAACTCCCCTCTTGCTTCACTTCATGATCCCCAGTATATAGTTAAATGCTGAGCATGGCACCATGTATCTCCCAGGTCAGTTAAGTAATGTGCAGCTTAGTATCTGAAAATAGGTTTTTAAGGGAGAAAAAGAGTTGAATAAGCCTTGAGGATTTGTTTTCATCATCTGTTTTACATTGCTTCTGAAACAGTTAGTGAATCAGTACTTGAATAACTTCCTTTGCATGAAGTCTTAGGCTTTATTTAATTAACTTTTATTTAGAAAGTTCATTAAAGTGCTTTCTTGAAACTTTTTCATTTTGCCTCAGTTTTATTCGCCGCCTTTCTTTTTCAGCAGTAATTGTGTTGTGTGTTGATTTATTATTTTATTTTCTTTTTTTTCCCCGCTCCTTCTGACAGTCATACCCGTCCAATTACATGGACCAAATGAAGCCAAACAAATACAGCGTCATTTATTCTACACCAAGTATGTTGCACAATAAATTCTACTCAAACCCCGAAGGACTATCAAATGGAATCCAGATGGAGCCAGTAGACCTTACGGTGAACAAACGGAGCTCACCACCTTCAACTGGAAGTTCTCCTTCCCCCCTCAAATTTCAGACTGTACATAGGAGAACTTCACCTGGATTGACTCTGTCCTCACCCAGCTCACCTCTCAGTAAATTCACACCGTCACCCCCAGGAGTACAGCCTATTTCCATGCCAATAACAATCCCACCTGTAATGGCCGCTGCTCTTTCACGCCACGGACTTAGAAGCCCTGGAATACTCCCGGTGATACAGCCTGTTGTGGTCCAGCCGGTTCCGTTTATGTATGCTCCCCATCTTCAGCAGCCCATCATGGTGTCCACAGTTCTTGCAGATGAGATGGAAACTCCAAGTAGCATGCAAGGTTGGTGTTGTCAGAGTTTCTTCTTTTATGCGGTCTCATCCTGTAGTAATAACTGTGTGCCCAGTTATTTTCCATCTTTTTGTGTGTTTTTTTGCATTTTAGGAAATGGAACATAATTCCTGTTCTTCTAAAATATGCAGGGATAGAATTTACTGTGTGAATATTTTACCAAACTTACCACGGTCATATTCTGATTTATACTTGCATAAAGCTGTTTATTTACTGAGATTTGGATTGATAAAAACGTGGACTGATGAAAATTAATAGAATTGGTTTGAATCATAGTTCTTCAGGAGATAGACTAAAACTGGAAGATTGTGTATTTTAGCATGAATTGTTGCACTAAATATAGAGCTGGGGGATTTCTTTTGTTTTAACTATAGATTTTTAGGTACATTTTTTATTTCCATAACTCTATTATTGATGTGTTGCCTTCCTTATCCTACCCTCCCCCATACAGTGCCTGTCATTGAGTCTTATGAGAAGCCTGCACTGAAGAAAACAATCAAAGTAGAGCCAGGAAGTGAACCATCGAAGACTGACTTCTATCCTGAACAAATGTCACCTCCAGTGATGACCTCATTGTCTCCCCAGCAAGTAATGTTGCAAGAGTAAGTAGCTAACAGCAGTCCCAAGATCAGCAGAAGAATGAAAAGCAGTTCATGGCAGCAGTTACCAATTTTGAGAGTTGGAGTGTGTGTTGCTGTGCTTCACAACATGTGATAAAATACAGAAAAACATCCTTCCTCCCCTCCTGCCACTGTGAAATGCCATTTCAACCTTTTTTTCCCCTCTTTAGCAATACAGGAGTTGATACGTATTTGTATGTCGCAACCACATGGATCTGCCTTTTATATAATGCATTTCTAAAGCAATGCTAGTCCCAGTCTTAAAATTTACTGCAAGTAGTACTCCCAATAAGCTAGCGATACCTGTTTGTGTAAAACCAGCAGCAAACTGGAAAGATGCTGTAAGACAATTCATACTGATCTCTGTACTTAGGTTACCCAAAATACCTTTCTTTTAAAAGATTCTTGTGACTCGCTTTTCTTGGAGGACCTCTTTGTCTTTTAGAAAATTTTGGCTCCTTGGTGGAAAGAACCCCCTCAGGCCTACAATTTCTGTATATATCCAGTGAAATTCCATGTTTACCTGAGGCCATTGTTCCGTGGGTGGATTTTTTGGCAGCTCAAGTAGTTCCTGAAGCTCTCTTTCCTCCCAGCCAGTTGTTTCCACTTCATTACCAACTCATTGTGCTGGTACAGCTGTCACTGGGGCCACTGCACGAACTGGATCACAGATCTAATTGGGTTTAAAACAGTCCTGTTTGAAGAAGGCAGAGCAAGGGCTAGAAGGAAGAAGTGAGGTCTGGGGCAAAAAGTTTTTAATTGGAAATACGAAAAATTTCTCAACAAGCACCCAGGGAGTCATGGGCACGCTTCCATTTCCCGTTTTCTTAGGGAAAGTTCTGTCAACTTACCAAGTCATGGAACAGCCTGGAGCCCAGCTCATTCTTCAGCTTGGCAGTGCTCTGGCCAGGCATGCAGGCTGCTGCTGTGGCTTTGGCAGGAGCTGAAGCTGGGGACTGAGCTGGGCTCATGGTACCTCGGAATCCATTTCTGCCCTTTCTTCCTGCTCGCCGTCACCCTCAGAGCAGTTGTGTGAGACCTCACCTCCTAGAGTGGGGGAGAAAAGCTCCAAGCCAGAGCCCAAACCAGCGTGTGAGTGTGGGGTGATTCAGAAAGAGAGAGAAAGCATAGGACGGGCGCTCTTCTGCATTTCCTTCGGAAGGCAGCCTCTTCTTCCTGCTCGTGACCATTCCCAGGTTAGAAGGCGCACTGCGGCTCCAGGGCTACCTACGTTCTGCACAACCTTCTTGTGGGTACCCTTCCTCGTTTTCAAGTCTCTAACCAGCTTAGATCCAGCTTCTAGACTGCAGGCTCTTTGCAATTAGCTAGTTTCCAGCTAGCTTTTATAACTTCTATTTAGTTAAAAATAACCTTATATGTTTTATTGTAATAAACATACAATGAAATAGTAAACATCCGTGTTTACTAGGTACTTACTTCCATAATGGACCTGTCACACAAGGGAGTCAGGTGTGTATGTGCTTGGAACTAACTTCTGCTACGTCTGAACTATGATGGTTCAGTTTACTTTTGCTAGGCCTCTTGAACAAGAGCAAACCAGTAAGTGCTGTTCCTGGCTGATACCACACCCTTCCTCCCTTCCTCCAGGGCTGACTTATGCAAACTTGTCACCTGCATTAGTGATCTGCATTAATTATTCCCCAGCGAGTCCAGTTTCCACAGAAAACCCATCTGCTGAGCAAAAAATGTAAAATTTGGTATAACGTGTAGGTAGCATTGTTACAAAAAAACCATTTGAATAGTCCGTGTTTCCAGAGCATCTCCTCTGCTTGCCCATGCAGAGCGTTGTGTTTATGGAGACCCTGTCCTCACATCGTAATGGCTTAAATCGCTCCCTGGCTGTCCTGTAGAGCTGCCATTCTAGCTCGTTCCTAAAGGCAGCCCGTTCACATTCTGCCCTATCTGCAACAAGAAGTTTGTAAATAGTAGTTTTTATCTTTTTATCACGTAAAAAACATATGTAGACAAATCACTCAAGTTACAAGATGAGAGACCTAGACCTTTATACAATTTCCTGTTGTCTCACAGCTTCATCAGCCTCTCTCTGCAGTATGAGCTATAGTTAGACAGTGATTTCTTATCATTTTCCATAGGTTCCAACTGCCCAAAGTGCACTGTTCAGACATATATGCTACGTTAACAGGGCATAGGAAACCTTCAGTCTGACTTTTAAGTGGCTGATTCAGCTTTAGTGTTAAGCTTTTGGTATACACATTATATATATATATATATATATAAAGTTGATGGCATTTCTGTAGGGATTGCTGGACTCCCTAGTATGTCTGATAATTGACGTGACTATGCAGTTATTTCTAATATCAAACTTGAGGGGATAATCTCTGACCAAATATAAGAAGCCTCGTTAACGTTGTATTTTCTTGTGAGTGCAAGTGCCAAAGTTTAACTCATGCTGTCAACATAGTGTGATCTGTTAATACTTACCTCTGATTTTTGACACAGCCTTAACCATTTTTTAAAACTGCCACACCCTGTCTTATTATTGATAGCATTCTGTAGTCTTGCCAGCCTCCTTTCCTCTAAAGAGAAAATGAGAGAGACAAATTCTCAGCACTTTTTTTACACGCTCTTAGATTGAAAACCATCACAAATGGTGTACAGCCAATATCCTTTTTCTCCCTTTGTCCAGATATTACCATGTCCAGCACAAGCCTCCACACATAGGGGTTTAAACCAAGTTTGCTGCTTGTCCTAAGCCAGAGCTTCTCCAAAAAGACTGGTATGCAACAGTGTTAAAACTGAGCATTGCTTTAGAGGAGCATTTCTTTGGAAGCTAAAAGCCTGCCTTTCTTATTTAAGAGTATGTACATCTGTGTCTAACATTACCATCTGGGGTCTCCTGCCATTACAATATTTTTAGCTAGTTTTAATGTGTTCTTTAAGAGTACATCACTCAACAATCACAGAAACACCCAAGAAAGCGAATTTGGCTCTCCATTCCAAGCTTGTAACTCTAGTAAGAGAATTAATAACAGAATTAAACTTTTCCCACATTGGTAATTCCCATCCTGCTGCTGTGGAGGGAAATAGAAATTTTTTTTCTTGTTAAACTATGCACAAGATTTCCTATCTTTAGCATATACCCTTTGTTTTGCTGAGAGATGTAAGTGTTCAGTGCTTCTGAAAATTAGGCCCTGAAGGAACTTGGTTTAAGTAACTAATGTAACCCAATGTTATAAAGTGTAATTCAATCAGTAAAGAAATGTGAAATACAGTAACTGAGGAACGATGGGAATTGTAGAAAGCTTATTTCTGTCACTTGGAGGAGCTGGTTTTGCCACAAGGAATGCTAATAGCTTCCCATTATATACTTAGTTTTGGTTAAAAGCTAAAAAATGCCTTAAAAGTGCTGATCTAGATAGGCTAATGGGTTGAAAAGTGCAACTTTGTGAGGTTGCAAGATTTGTGATGTCATTTAGCTTTTTGACAAACGTACTTACTTCCTTTTCTAACACTGACGTGGAAGAAAGAATCAAGGTTGTCCCCAGTTCTACACTAGGGGTGTTGTTCCAACCTGAATATCCACGGTCAATGACACTTTTGAAGAAGCTTGATGTGTTTTCATGTGTGTGAACGTTTTATGTTTTTGTTTGTTGCAGAAGTCTATATGTAGTTAGTACATGTCTTACCTGCACTGTACCTGTGGGCTTCAAAAGCAAAAAATGATGTTTATGAAGGTGGAGGGACAACTTCAGACATCCTGTGGGTGTGCCACACAGGCTAAACTCTACTTTTAGGAATTGACGTCAGTGGTATAGGGAGGCCGCACCCTCCTGCCAGCACCAAACAGGAAATTCTTAATTACTCTCTAAAGGAGTGGCTGGAACAATAAAGATTGAGTTCTGCTTTGAAACCCTAAAGATACAATTTCTTTAATAATATGGAATAGCTGCTTAGAATTACAAGTGAATTAGTTAATTTGAAGGAGGAAGAAAAATTGTGAACACATACAAGAAAAGTTCACTGTGAGCTCAGAGTTTGAGAAATCTGGATTTCACCGAAAAACAGGAATTTGAAGGGGGCTTTTCCTTTGTAAGTTTAAAAAAAGCTAGGGAGTAGTAAAAATGGCTACATCATGCCACAAAGTGAGTAAACATTTAAAAATACCACTGCTAGAATACACAAAATTTGCTAAACCCTCTTGAATTTTTCGACATGCATGTAATGGTGTTCCGTCTGCCAAGAGACAGAGTGGTAGTGAATAAAGGGCTCTGTCATGAATGATATTAGCTGAGGTTTGATGTTCTAAATGTTTTTCATTTTTAACGTTCGATTTGACTTTGCAGGAATCACCCATCAGTTATAGTTCAGCCAGGAAAGAGACCTTTACCTGTGGAATCTCCGGACACGCAAAGAAAACGCAGAATACATCGATGTGACTATGAAGGCTGCAACAAAGTCTACACTAAAAGCTCCCATCTGAAAGCTCACAGAAGAACCCATACAGGTTTGAGCATTGCTATGCTTTTCTTTCATCAAGTCTGTGGTAAAGTAGGAGACTAAGCTTTTTGTTTGTGCTAATAGCCAGATGACCACAGGTGTAAATAACAAAATGACAGAAATTAGATCTGGCATTGTCCTGAATATAATTATAGGCTGAGCAAAAGGGAGAGGATGCAGCAGGACAAACCCACAAGAAGAGACTGTAAGCCAAAGCAGGATCACAGTGTGTGCTGGTATGCTTTACATTCACTGGCTCTTCTCTCATTTTCTGTCCAGTTGCTTGCAGGTTAGTCATTCTGTGTACCATGTAAACACCAAATCAGTTCAAACTGCACTACCTCACCTCTTACATCACTGTCAAATTTGACTGAGACTTCCATGGGAGTAGCCCATTTGCAAAAGTCTGGACTGTGTGTCAAATACAAACACATCTGCTTCATGTGGACATGCTAACCACTGGTCCGATTAGTGCTCTTCTCTGAGTGAGCGTTCCGATAAACATAGCCCCGTCTCTGTTCTCCGCAGAAATGTTCATCTTGGCATGCTGAATGAATATATGTACATCCAAGTTTTTTACAAAGACAAGGGACACTTCTAGGTGAAATGGAGCCCAGTTCATGTCTGTCTCTCTTCTCTACACAAGCCAGCCCTTTACCTGTTGGGCAGCGCAATGGTGTTATGGAGAAGGAGGATCACACATTAGAAAGTAATGACCAAGGAGATTTTAAGTCGAGCTACTCGTGACAGTGGTGCCAGTTATTTATACTACAGTAACTTCAAGAGGTCAAGATTTCTACCTGCTGTGCTGAATGGTAACACCAGTCCTTTCCCCTAACTGATCTAGAATACGAGGTCCTGGTTTTGAAAATACTTGAACACATGCTTAAACCTTCACACTTCTGGGCTTGATGAGACAAAACAAGTGCTAATATGGCAGAGGGAGGAACACAGAGACAATAAAAAAATAAGTTGTGGCAGGAAACAATTTTTTTTAATCTGTTAACTTTGACTACGCAGTTTCTAGCACAGAGTACCCTGCAGCCCAGTGCTGTTTGGAGGCTTTTTGAGTAAGCGTTAGGTACTTGCTGAAATTTGACAAAGCAAGAGGATAAATTCGTCAGATATTTAACTGATGTGTTTGTGTCTTAAATCCCCACTTCTGTGTTTCTTTTTCCAGGTGAAAAACCATACAAATGCACTTGGGAGGGATGCACGTGGAAGTTTGCTCGTTCCGATGAACTAACGCGGCATTTCCGCAAGCATACAGGAATCAAACCTTTTCAGTGCCCAGACTGTGACCGTAGCTTTTCACGTTCGGACCATCTTGCTCTTCACAGAAAACGCCACATGCTAGTCTGAATGTCTTCTGTCCCTGACTCCTGTCACGCTTTTTTTTTTTTTCACACACGCATTTTAATTTGGATTCAGCTGGTCTGAATCTCTGAGTTTATACCATTAAAAGCTTACATATGGTCAGTAACAGATGTTATCTAACCCTTCTATGTCCTTGCCACGGGTCAGACCTAAAGAATGTGAACACTTTTTTTTTTTTCTCCTGGGGATGCTAAGCAAACCCTTTCTGCAGACAGTATGTTTAATGTATTCCATTGTGAATAAGGGAATTTGTAAACTAACAGCTTTTGTTGGTTTCTTCATATAATCAACCCAGCATATACTGATAAAGTAGTAAATGTTATTGAATATCCAAAATGCTAGTCCTTGCCAGAGACTTTTATTTATGTGCCCTGTAAGGGGTACACTCTCATTTTATGCTCTACAATGCAATGAATGGACTCTCCCAACTGTGTTGATTTCTGCAATACGGTTAATACCACAGCTTCAGAAAGGCATCCGATTCAGAAATCCCCTCTGCCCAAACAGTGAGTAATACCGTAGAAATACCTCTGAGCAATATAATACTTTACGGAAAGATTGAGCCCCAGTATCATTGACCCCAGTCAAGAAGAAAAATTGGAAGGAATTGGTCTATACATAATATTGTGCATCTAAACCAATGTCGTCTGTCCTCTGTATTATAGTGTAGTATATATCCTTGTTTTTATTGCATAACGCCCTGGTGGATTTGTTAAATGAAGACCTTGTGTGACGCTGTATGTCTGGTTTCTGTGCAAGTGTATGGATGGAACACACACGGTACTCTCCTGTGACATGGCATTAAATGATACTCGTAGAAACCTACCACACCTCATTTCAGGGATATAGACTATCCCTCTATAATCACTCCCCAGCATTTCCTCTAAATAGTTTTTCTCTTTGCTGTACCTCAGAAAATGGCAATTATGTTAAAAATGCTCCAAACTGTATTGTTGTGAATGCCACTTTCATACACTACAGTGTTTAAAATTATTAATCCACAATATTTTTATGAGAAGATGGCATCAGATACGAAGCGCTTCTGATGATAAATTGAGTCATGTATCTGTTTTAGATAAAATTGTATACCAAATCATCCATTTGATAACTCTGATTTGTGACTCTCGTAGTCTCTCAATGTTAGGTAGGCTAAGCTTTCCTGCGGATGTGTCCATGGCATTAAAAAAATCACATCAGAAAGTCTTAACTCCCATGTCAGTTAGCGAACACAACTCCGTAGATAAAATAAACCGAACTCAAGCAACCTGCAGTTGACCCTAGAAACGTTCCTGTCTCTCGGAAGCCCGCTGACAGGCAGGTTTCTGTCTTTGTCATCTGGCAGATTTTGTGGCACTGCAAGGAAATGGGATGTATTTCTCTAGGCTCTCGCACACCAGCCCCTTTGTCTTCTTTCCCCAACGTAAGGTAAACACCATTCCCTGCAAGTTAAACGTAACTGAAGTCAGATTTTCGTTTCTCATGGAAAAACCCACTGGCGAATGGAGGGGTGAGGGGAGGAGGAGTTTCGTAAAACTCTCCAGGAGGAGGCAGGTGGGTATGCGTGCGCTTACGGGGCAGGCAGGCTGTGCTTCTACATCGTGTGGAGTCCGGCGGCAAACTTGAGTCTTGCAGATGCAAGAGTTTGAGCGCAAAGAGCCTTCCCGTGGCCCTAAGAGTTCACCGGCTGTTCTGTGGACAGCCACGTACCCTTAGAGCTAGAGAAGGAGAGGGTCTGTACTTGTGGAGAAAAAGGCTCCTACAGCGATCGCTGTGAAATACAAAGTGGTGTTCCAGTTGCGTAACTAACCGTCCATGTGGGAATACGGAACCGGCAATTTTATTTAAGGAATAGAGCCCTGAAAGGTGCGTTGTGCGAAGGGGAGAGCGGGCATTTGCAAAGCGGGGCTGGGAGAGTCGCGGCAAAGCTTTCGTGAGGAAGCTCCGTGCGCTCTTGTCACCGCACGGTAGGTCCTCGCCGCTTCGCTGGGACCGCGGGGAGCTGCGCCAGATCTGCCGTGGAACTGGCCCTCCCCTGCTCGTCCGCGGGGCTGAAAACCGGGGCGGCGCGTCGGTCTCTTCGGGACTGGCCACGCTGTTACTAGCGCTGAGGAGCTTGGCGGGGAAGAGCATGGCAGTAACGAGCAGCGGTTCTAGCGCGGGGATTTTCGTTGGGTATTTCTGTTGCCAGCGGCAGCAGAATCGGCCGCCTTCATCAGGCTCCGGGTTTCGTCGGCAGCTCCATAAATGCGGATGCGTCGCTGACCGAGGGGCTGCGTGGAGCCCCTGTAGCATCAGTCACGAGTCTACCTTTAGTATCCTGGGGTGAAAGCAATTCTCTAGTCTATTCTAGGGGAAAAAGCAGATGAGATTCTATAAAAATAAGCAGCTTAATGGCAACTGGTCCCATTTTTAGTGTAACAAATGCAAACGGGTAAAATTTGTGATGTTTAAGGAACATTTCTTTCCAAGGCTCTGTTTCTTTCAAGGCTTTCACAAAATGTTTTCCTTAATATTTTCCCCCTTTGTTTTTTCTTTGAAATTGGAAATCTAAAATCAACTACCCTAAAAGCAGAACTTCTTTGTAACTAAGAGTTACTTTTGAGAATTTAGGTTATTTACCATGTTCGTTCATTAGTCTATGTACCTTTTTCCTGAAAATATTTATGCTAATGGTGGGGACGAATACAGTGGAGATTCAATAGAACTTTAAAATATCTTTATCCATGTGCCTTGTGATTTAAGACAACAGAAATCTAAATATTAAATATAAATATTTGAGATTATTTCATGTAAATGCCTTTCATTATAGGATCTTTCATTTGTGTCTGGTGTCGTCGGATGTCAAAAAAGTCGCAAATACGCTTTCCTCTTTCAGCTGAAAATATGAATTTACATCTTAACTGGCTCATTGATTCATTTTGTCAAACTTTGATTTGAGTGGTATCTTGTGATTTTTAAATATACACAACTAAAGACTTTTTAAATCCAGTCCTTCTATCTTTGCCCTAAAGAGAAGCCAGTTTAGATATAAAGATCAAAACGCCTAATCCTGCAGAATGTGTATATTTTAAAAACCCACTTTTTTCCCTAGCAGTATTGCACTGTGCAGTGCCTTACAGGTAATACTGTTTTACTAAAATGTGCCTGCTTAAGCCATTTGATTGTAATAAATTACTAGTTTCCAAGAAAATCTCAAAAAGCTAAGCAGGTATTACTGTGTGTGGTTTTATTTAAATATACACCGCCATTCTGCAGTGAGCTTTCTAATACCACATCTTGTCCAAATACGTTGTTGTCTCTGTCAAGGTTAGCAACATGTAGATGAATACAAATCCTTTCTATAAAAAACTGCAGTGCATTTTACGTATCTTGAGGGCTATACCAGTTTTCATTATATTTTACAGATATTAGCACTTTTTTTAACGTATTTTAAATATTAGAGGGTCAAAATAATCTTTCTGCTTAGCATCTCTCACCTGCAAATATAGCAGGGATGTTATATGTACTTTAATACCTGTATAAACTATGCAGAAAATTTTTAATAAAATGTAATATATTTTATAAGCTAATAAGACTGAATGGGTAATTAAGGGTTTCTAGCGTGCATTACTATAACTTGCAAATACGGAGACATTTTGGTAATCTTTTTCTTACTAAAGATGTGAACGTTTAATGTACTTTCACTGTTTCTACTTTGGTAGTCCAATGGGAATTCAGTAATGACATTTTGTCATGTCAAGCTGTGAACATGAATTTGTACTGTACAGTCCTCCTACTCTATTTAGTACACAGTGCGTATGTATTATACTTGTTAATAAAACCCGCAGAAGATTGTTTGTGGTGATGTCATCATAGGCTGTACGAGAAAGAGCAATGACACAGGCACACGGGAGCCCCTGTGGGGGGGCGGCCCCTCTGCTGCGCACGTGCGCGCCTCCGGCGG